AAATGCCCACGCTAACACCATCAAATAATATCCAATTAATATATGGTCCACAACCCATAGATGAAATCCTGGTCCGCTGTCCAACCCTTAGGATAAAGTCCATTTTACCCTCTCCTCACTTGGCCCAAAATCCGAGGCCCAATCCAATAGCCTCAAAAAGCCCAATAAGACCCAACCTCCTAATTGGGACCAAAATCCATCATGGGCCTAATCCAAGAAGGCCCAAAGCCTTATAATGCCCCAATACACGAAAGTCAACAAAAGTCACTGAAATTCAAACGACTGAGTGCGCCCTGCATACTCAATCTATGCCCATCGTACACCACCCTTGACCAGTACACGCTACGTACAAGCTGGGGACGCCCATCGTTCTCCTCAGCAGCCTATTCTCCTTATTAAGTGCTTAAATGGTTATGCCACTAAGTCCACTTCTCAAATCTGATCCTAATCAAAGTCTTAACACGTAAAGTTGGCAACTTTACTCCTTTGCATGCATTAATGGGACCCAAAACTTGTTTTTATTCAAACTAAGAACACTGACTCTAGAATTCTTCAACAAAAACCCTCAATATGACATTTTTATGACTTAATAACCTCAACAAAGGCCAAATATGGGGCTCAAAGGTTATGGAGTAACTTCTACTCACAAGAACCACAACCTTGGGACCAAACATGATAAAGTACCACCCAAAACTATATCTATACAAATAAGCTACCAAGATTAAGACTTTATACATCCAGAAGATAGATCAAGATGCACAAAGTCAGGATCCAAAAGCTTCAAGCAATCCAACACACCTTGAGAAGCTCCTTCTTCTGGAATAAGCACCAAAACACAAGAAATCACCCCAACAACTCAAGAACCACTCAAATGGGGGCTAGGGTATCGTATCTAGGGTTTAATGGGGTGGAGGCTGAAGGTAGGAAGGTTTAGAGTTAAGTTAAGGCCATTAAAGAGGTTCTAAGACCCTAAATTAGGGTTTCTATCTGACTGGAGTATGCCCTGCCTAGTCAAGAGGGCATCGATGATCCTCTTGCCTAGTACGCCCCGCATACTCCATGTATGCCCCGCGTACTAGGCTTAGCCCCTGAACACCAAGATTCCGAAGGCCATAACTTCTTCGTTCTAATTCCGTTTTTGACGATCCTTATATCCCCAGAAAGGTAACGAGAAGCTCTACACTTCTACCAACTATCCCTTGCCTTAAAACTTTCCGAACTTAAACCCAAAATTCATAAAAGGCCCGAACTGTCACTTTACCGATATACCCTTCGGCTCCAAAACACAAACCGAACTCCCAGGTCATCCAATCTACATTTTCCACACCCAAAGGGGTCTAAGACTCTCATTCCCATGGGCCCTAAACCTTATGATAAACGATATTCGGGTCACGACCTCGAATTAGGAAACGATTCGGAACAAGGTGTTACACGGTTGTTATATTATTTAAATTTCGTCCCTCTTTCCGTTTAAAAGGACGACATTTAAACGGTTTTAACAACCATGTTGGTGTAATATGTACAAAAAAGACCCTAGGGACCTAATGTGGACAAAACCTTATTACCCTCCTAGATCATTAACCCTTAGATGCTTTTAGAATAATTACATAAATGGACCTAATGATTTACAAAAAAAAAATCATACATTTAGTTTTTTTTTTACGTATATATTCTTTTGGTTCCAACTTCTAGTTGCATGGTTGCTTGTAATGACTTAAATACCATTTTTAATATTTTTATCATTTCATTTAACTCTTTTACAATTTATATTAATATCTAGTTAGATGGATTCATCATTTCATCTTCTTTTTTTAGTCGTTAATTCACCACAACCAACGGTTTCAATTGAAAGGTTACATAACAATTTTTTGTTATTTTTACAACAAAAAAAAAAAAAAAAAAAAAAAACTAATAATAATCAAAGTCTTAATGATTAAGGCTATATTTGGTGCGTCACAGCTAACTTATTTTTCGATTTTTTTTAAGTGTCATGTTTGGAAAGTCAAAAAGTAACTTATAGGCTTAGCGTTTTAAAAAGCTAATTAAATTAGCTTTTTAAGAGTTTTTTTTAATTTTCTAAATATTCCCCTTAAATTATAGAAAACATTTTTTTTTAAATGTCCTTTTATCTCATTATATAAATTTCAAATATTTTATCAGTCATGGTCAAAGTAAAGGGGTATCACCGACAAATCTTATATCTCTAATCTCTTTTAGAATGGTTAATGACCTACGAGGGTAATAAGGTTTCAAATTCGTCAACATTAGATTCCTAAGGTCTTTTTTGTACATATTATACCAACATGGTTGTTACAACTGTTTAAATGTCGTCTCTTTAAACGTTAATGAGACGACATTTAAACAGTTATAACAACCATGTTGTTGTAACATGTACAAAAAAAAACCTTAAGGACCTAATGTGAACAAATTTTGAAACCTTAATACCTTCATAGATCATTAACCTTATTTTTTTTACAAAAAGTTAAGGGATTTTGAGGCAATATCTTAAAGACAGCCACATAGCTATGTTTAATAGAGTTGGTGACATAAAATCCTTAATTTAAAAATAAAAAAAAAAAGAAAAAAAAGAAATACAATTTTACCTTAACATAACATTTTTTGTGCGTTAATAATGAAACTTTGCATTTTTTTTTCTATTTTAGCCATTGTTATGTGCTAACATGTTTTCATTATTACCGAAAAAGCCCGTTTATAAAGTTCTCATGTTTTTACCTTAAATATGTTTTTTCATATTATTTTTCATATTATACGTATTAATGTATTAATGCAGAAAAAATATGTTTATACATAGAAATGTTTAACTAAACATTATATTAATAATCTTTTTAAATGTTATTTCTTTATATACATGTTTTTCATATATATATATATATATATATATATATATATATATATATATATATATATATATATATATATATATATATATATATATATATAAAAACATAAAAATGAGTTTTTAGAAGTATAAATACATATTTTAATGTATTTAGAAGTATAGAGATATTTTTAGAGGTATACATATACGTTTTTATATTTTTTTAGATATATTAATCAAGGTTGTTAAGATCGGGATCTTATATAAGATCGTTTTCTGCTTTGCAAGATTGTGATCGTAAGATCGTGATCGTAAGATCGTAAGATCGCACCAAAAGAAAATTAAAACATAAAAATACATATTCATTGACCAATTAACCATACCGTTAACAATAATTACTTTAAAAAAAATAAAAAATATATTTATAATACATTATTTAAACGATAAACAATTCAAAATGGGTATTCTACGTTGTTAGTCCAATTAAAATATTGATTTTTAAATATATATATATATATATATATATATATATAGATATATATATATATATATATATATATATATATATATATATATATATGGGAAAGGTTATTTGGAAAACAAAAAAACCCTAAAAATCATAAAAATACATAAAAAAAAAATACTTAGAGATCACAAAACTTTTTTTATGAAAAAATCGCAACTTTTTTAATAAAATCGCTGAAAAAAAAAATAAAAATCAATTTTTTTTTATAAAAAAAAGAGGTTTTTTTTCAAAAAAAATTTCAACGATTTTGTATTAAAAGCAGCGATTTTTTCAGAAAAAAGTTTTGTGATCTCTAACTATTTTTTTTATGCATTTTTATGATTTTTAGGGTTTTTTGTTTTCCATAGAATTTAAACCAATATATATATATATATATATATATATATATATATATATATATATAAGTTTAAATACGTATTTAAAAGTATAGATATATTTTTTTGAAGTATGAACATACAGTTTTTTCATTTATAGACATATAAATATATATTTTTACGTTTATAGACATAAATATATTTTTTTTACACATAAACACACTTTTGATTTATTTATACTTTTAAATGCATAAAAACATATTTATATTTTTTTTAAATCATATTAATATATCTAAAACATGTAAAAATTTATATTTATTCTTTTAAAAATATATTTATATTTCCAGATACGTAAAAATATATACATGTATTTCAAAAAACATATTTTTATGTTTTAAACCATTTAAATATACATGTATTTCAAAAAACATATTTTTATGTTTTAAATCATTTAAATAGGGAAAAAATAACTTGTATATAAAGAAACAACTTTTAAAATAAAACATAAATACAATGTTTTTTAAAAAAAATCATGTATAATCTTTTTTATAAAAACATACAATATGAAAATATATATATATATATCTATATATATATATATATATATTATATATATATATAATATATATATAATTAGGGTAAAAACAAAAAAAGATTTGTGAAATTAAGTGTTTTTTCTTACAAGTTTTATTTTATGGTGACCTGAAAATCGGTTATCACATCTAATAAACATAATTAGGGTTTTAACATTTAATGCAGCAAAAATCAATTTTATCGGACTTAAAAAAATTAAAAACATTTGTCATTAAATTTTTTTAATAACATATATGTGTCGATATTTTAAATATATAGTTTAAACTTCACAATTCACAGACATTTGCGTAACAATATTATAACCGGGTGAAAATTGAAATTATCGAATAACAATATCTTGCCATAAAAATCTAAATAGAAGGTTATAATAAAATGAAGCATAGTAAATACTTAAGTAATTATATGATATAATAAAAATATTAAAATATTAAGAAGAACAAAAACAATGAAAATTTACTTTTTTTACTGAAAAGTGAAAATTTAAGGAAAACGTTTTTGTTTAAAAACAAATAATTTATTTTCCGGTTACAAGACTCAGGTTTGCTACAATGAGATTTAACAGAAGATGTAAATGGGAATCACCGGCGAACTTTCATTTTCCCCTCCTTACAAAAAACAAAATCTCAGACGGAGGGAAATCCTGTGCCCGTGAACTACAAAGAGTCGCCGGAATCTAAAATCCGGCCAAACATATTTCCTTCCAGATCAAAATTGACGCTACAACTCATTATTTGAACAGATTCAGCAGATGCACTTCTCTTCCTCCTTGAGTAAAACTATACTCTCCAAGCCCACAGGCGCCGCCCAAACACGTTGTAGTGACGGAGTCTTCAGAATTCATCGACGGACTTCCCTGCCGCCGTTTCTCAGGCAAGCCTTTAACAGCTGTAAAGCTCTGATTTATATTTAGTTCAAGATCGTGCGATTGTGTCATGTTTGATGGCGACTCACCGGCTCGCCGACGCTTCTGCGCCTTCGACCGCGGATGTGTGACCGGATCCTGAGGTTTGAGCAAGTCAAAGCGAGTTACATCTATTTCTGAGGAATCACCGAGTTTTGGCATCGCCGGGAATCCGTCGCTAAGCTCCGGGATCGGGCTTAACGTGCCGCCTCGGAGAACTGTATCCACCGATGCCTGACACAGGTGCCAGTTCCCTGTCCACAAAAGTCCGACTGCTCCGTTGACTGGATTCACCGTCCGACCGGCAGCTTCAAATAATAGCGATTGAAAAAGAGCTGTAGATGCAAAATAAACTAGGTAAGTCAAAAAGTAAAACGACTCCAATTTCCAAACCCTAGCATTGAATTTGTCATGCACTATCTACTTTAAATTACCGAAACAAACACACACACACACACACACACACAAACAGTTGGGTTTGAATCTAAAATTAAGCAAGTTTTTGAGCGAGGTGAGGTGGTTTACATGGACGTTGGTTTTCAGGAACGGCGGAGATGAAGGACATGAGACCGGCGCGGCCGAAGAATTTGGCAACGAATACGGTGGCGTGACCTTGAGCTTCAGGAGTATCAATCCACTGCAAACAGGGGCGGAGAATACAGCTATCGCTGCACCCCTTTCGGAGGACTCGGCATCCATTGCAACTCATGGTTGAAGCGCCAGGTACTTCAGATTTAGTCTCTGTGTTTGTGTGTGTGTGTGTGTTTGTGTGGTGTTTGCCGACAAATATACAGAGAGAGGGAGAGGATGAGGTTTGGAGGTGGAGAAATGAAACCGAGAGGAGAGATGGGGAAAATTGAGGGGAGAAGGGAATTTGTAAAGGAAGGGTGTTAGGGTTAAGTTAACCATGGTTGAGTTAAGAAAGTGGGTGGATTCCAAAGTATTGGGCGAGAGCGGCTCCGTGTTTTCGCGGAGATTTACCTCCGCTTCTATCTTTGGCTGCTTATTGGATAATATTTTGATGCCCTTTCACTTTCAGATATCACTTCTTATTCACTTTTACTTTACTTTTCAATCAAATTACCTTGGTAGGGTAAATTATACGAATGGTGCCTATGGTTAGGAGGAATCCGTACATTTAGTTTCTAATTTTTTTTTTTTTTTTAACTGGGACGGTTTCTATTGTTTTTTTTGTTGTGCCCTTAGTTTTCACCGACTTGAAAAGACTATACTGTCATTTTCTATTTCATTTTTTGTATTTTTTTGTTGTTTAAATAGTTATTAATATTTATCATTAAAAAGAGGTGGGTCCCACAACTGCTCCCTTCCCAACTCCTTCCTATATCTTTGTCGGAAATACCTCACCGGACCTCACCATCCACCACTCAACTTCAATCCTTCTCTGATAAGACTATCTTCCCTCCAAGGTTTCAACTCATCTTCATTTTACCTGCAAGTCATGAGTTCTTTATCTTATCAAGAATTCATGAACAAGTAAACATGAAATCAATGAAACTCATATACGATCTAATTATAAAAAGCACCCAGATATAATCGATTAACCGAAAACATAAATACAATTTACTCACAAAACGCCCGAAATCCGCATGGGGGGCGTTAATAAATTATACATATATTTATATATATTAATTATATAAATATAATAAACAATAACATGATTTTTGAACTTACAAAATTCAACAAAAAACTTGTTTTTAAATTGTTAGTATGATGTTTTTAAGATGTCATAACTTTTTTATTTTTAAAATGTAAAATTATGTTATAAATAATTATATGTTACCTAAAAAATAACTTCTTTTAGCCAAAAAACAACTTCTTTTAGCCTAAAAAAGGCAGCCCAAAATCAATCGGGCGCGGGAGTGGGGGTAATAAGGGGGATTCGGGGGCAGGGTGGGGGTAAGAAGGCTGGACATTTCGGGGGCAGGGGCGGGGGCGGGGGCGGGGACGGTGTAACGGGGAAACTTCAGGGGCGGGGGCGGGAGATCCACGCCCTGTCCCGTTTGCCCTCGTTGACATCCCTAGTGTTTTAGGCATTGGTTGGATGTATTAGAAGAAGGGGGTGTGTGGAGAGGCGGTCAACGGTTTCCGATGGGGCAAGAGGGTGACGAAGAATCTCGTAAGAAAAAGAAGAATGGGAAGAGATAAGGAGTAGTGGTGGACCCAATTTCATATTATCTTTTATCATAAAAATAAAAAATAACAAAATAAAAAGTAAAAATAAAATCAGAAAGGGAATAATTGTCTTTCTAAGTCGACTAATGACTAAGTGCAACAAAAAAAGAATAGGTACGATCTAAGTTAAAAAATTTAATTAGGGACCAAACGTATAAATTATTCCAAACTACAAGGATACTGCTTTGTATAATATAATGATAATGCTTCCTAATTATATATAATAAATACTTATATTATTTTAGTTAATTATTACGAATAACATCTCAAATTAATTTATAAAGTATGTATGCATAGATTTAGATACACAAAAATAAAACAGAAATCGTTGTATATTTTAAGACAAAGAACTTTGTTGAATATGTTAAAAACAAAATAGAGTATAAAAAGGTACCGACGTCGTAAAATGTAATAAATGTATATAATAAAAGATTGCAAGTTGCAAGGAAAAAAACATACAAGCTGCAAATGTCACTCATATTCGTAGTCATAAAGTCAAAGAAAATGCATGGATCCCATTCAAGGACTCCACCATCTCCAACTATATAATATTTTTTGAATTTATTGTAAAAACAAGGATAGAACATGTTATTTAATTATAGTGTAAAAAATTGGAAATTATAATACATTGTGGAATTTAATTATAGATAAAACATCAATTTATATTTTTAATAATCAAACATTTTATTCTATTTTTCATCAATAATTTAAATTGTTAAATATTAGTTTCGAAATGGTGTCTCTTCACCTATAAGTATGTTTTTTAATATTAACTTACTATAAGTTAGGGCTAACTCACTTATAGTAAAGGGCTAACTCACTTGGTTCATATGATGTCTAACACGGTGTCTCTAACAAAAGATCATTGGTTCAATCTATACATGTGCAAAAGAGTTACTATAGTGTATGTGTGCATCATATTCATAATATGATTTTAGAAGACAAGGAAAGTATGATATGTTGCTAAGATGAAAACAAATTTGACGAGTAGAAGTTGATACTCCACAATACATGACAAACAAAATGAAAGTACATGTGATGTAGGATGAGATAAGTGGAAGTGATCAAGTGATAAAAGACATAAAAACCGATATGACATTGATATAGCAAATAAGTTGTGAGTGATGGGAAATATGGAGTTTCTCGACCCTAAGAGAGACAATTTCTTAGATGAGAAGAAGCAAAAAGAGACTAGACAGAAATAATATGGAGCTAGTGGGCATTCAAAAGGTGAGACTATATACGGTACCATATCTTATAGCTTAAAATATTCATAAATCACTAGTAATTTTATATGATGTTGTATATATTTAGCATAGACTTTGGACCCAGAGATCAACTTAATTATATATTTTAGTATATTGTGGCGAAGATATTGTCGATTAGTGTATTTACTAAAGAGTCGTTTTGTATCATCTTTTATTATTCAAATATGTAATATTGTGGCGACTTGCTTCCCTACCTATTCGGTTTGGTAGTTTGGGTTTATACTCGGCAGTAGAGTCTACCGCATATGTTTTTGTTGCCTCAAAGGTCCAATCTTGGGTATTGCAAGACCACATCTTACGGGATAGCGGTATTTATGGTATGAATTCTAATTATGCTTGTGCCTTAGATTCTCTTCGTAACAAGCTTCCGGACATTGACCTTAGCGGTTTTACTACTAAGGACACCCCCCCCCCTTAAATCCCAGAATACACTGGCGAGTGCCCTTTTTAGTAAAATTATCCAAGATATGGAGGTGAATTTTAATATGACGGCTCGGCAGAAAGCAGTTTTCCAGTGTTTACGTGCACCACATGCTCAAGATTTTCTTCTAGCTATCCCTATAGATGGGCTTGGCCAACATATGTCTCCGGTGGAGTATCGTACCATCCTCAGATATCGACTCATGATTCCAATATTCTCAGCCGATGGGATATGTACGGTGTGCCGCAAGGCATGTTTGGACTCTTTCGGCGAGCATGCAGTTAATTGCAAAGAACTCCCGGGGTTCAAATACAGGCACGATATGGTTAGGGATGTTTTGGTCGACATATGTAAGCGTGTCGGGGTTTCCGCCAAGAAAGAGGCTCCAGTGAATTTCCTGACTGACCCGACAGAAGGAAGGTCAACCCATAGACCGGCTAACGTTTTGATTTTTAGATGAGTTGGAAGGAAACACGCATGTGTGGACCTTACAGGGGTATCCCCTCTCGTAAGTTTGAGGGCCGGGGGTTTCACGGTGGGACATGCTGCATTAAAAGCTACTACATGCAAGGTCACCAAACATGAGAAACAGTGCATGGAAAATCAACACGCGTTCATACCATTTGCATTTGATACGTTTGGTTTCCTTGCGTCGGATGCGGTGAAGCTTCTTAGTAGACTACAACGGATCATGCATAGCAATGTTATATCCCCTAGATCTATGGAATTAGTCTTCAAAAGAATTGGTTTTACCATACAAAAGGGCTTAGCGGCGCAACTTGTTGTCTGTTTGCCTTCTCATTCGTTGTATGACGATAACTAAAATGTTTATGAATTGTTGAATGGGAATGATTTCATGACTAACGTTTTATGTAATTAATTGGACCCTTACCAGGCCCGGTTTAGCGCAGGTGCCAAATGGGCAATGGAACAGGGCCTAAAATTTAAGGGGCCCAATTTTTTTTGTGTAATCCGTCAGCGGTCAGCCCCAAGCAATCCAACACCATTCGAATCTCAAATTGGGAAATCGGTGTTAAACAGAAAGTTGCTCTCAGCGAATCAGTGATCGATCGATTGGTCTTGCTCGTTATCCTTCAAAAAAAAAGTCGATTGCAGCAATCGATAATCGTGGAAGACTGGAATCAGGGCAGGGAAACGATCAAACGAAGGGCAGTGGCGCAGTGCATCAGCGGAAAACGATCCATCAGGTTAGCGACATCGACAGCAATCAACAAGACAACAATTATCATTCATCATCCTCCAGCATACAACACTACTACAGCAGTTTCTAACTTTCTATTTTCTAGGTGAAGGTATTAGAGTCTTAGACAATTAGAATATTAGAATTTATCTATCCTGTATTCCTATTCCTGTTATCAATTTATCAATGACCCAATTATCCATTCATGATTTATCCTGTATATTCCTGCTAATGTAATAGATTATGAGAAATTAAGGAATTAGAAATAAGGAATTAAGGATTATGAGTTTGTAAATTATAATTCTCAATTCAATTGCATACTTGAATGAGTTGAATGTATTATCAAATTTTCAGATTCTTGTGTAATTGTTTAGATAAACAACTGTTTAATTTTCAGATTCTTGAATGTGATTCATGAATTTTTAATTGTTTATCAGTATGTCGTATTGTCATTATGTCATATTATCATATTGAAATCTGATTGAATGATTCACAATGTTAAATGAAATCAATGAATGATTTTTGAAATAGATTATTAGAAACATAAATTAAATTATGAGATTATGTTTATTGTATAATTGTTTATCAGAAATTTGGAATTCAGAAACCATAGTGTTTAAAGAATCAAATTATGTTTATTGTTTGAAAAATTGTAGAGATGAAGTCTAAACAACCATCCGGTAGTCAAAAACGTAAAAAAAAGAAAACTTGATGAAGAAAAGAGAAAGGCTGACGCCGGTGCTCTAGATAACTTTATCCATAGACAACCTATTGAAGA